GGTCAAGGATCAACCCACCTAGCGAACCCACAGTTTTCTTCAGCCAAGGAAGACTGTAATAAGTATGTCATGTAAGTTGTATAGAAAAGAAACATATTGAAGAAACAAATAGTAATAGCAATTACCCATGCTTGCGGACATTTGAACCTTGGGACAACCAACTGGTAGACGAGCCCACATCCACAACTGGAGCAGATCAACACATCCACCAAGTGACGCTGTGGACGAAGTCCGACGACACGCCTCGCAAAGCTGACGGTAAAGAAAATCCAAGACTGCAGAGCCCCAGCTGTACTGACCCGCCTGGTCCCAGTCACTGAGGCAGTGGACCCACATCCACGACGCAGTGTCACCTGTGGCGTTGGGGAAGAGAACACAGGCAAACAGGTGTAGGATCCACACCCTGCAGTAGTACCCAATTGTCTCCTCATCTGCCTCCTTCGGGGCACTGTGCGAACTCTTGCTGGAGCCAGGAGATTAGAACTCTAGAAGTGCGAGCCCCTTGCTCGCCAACCTCATGTCCAAGGAAGGCCTCTACTCGTGCTCTCCAACCTTCTAACATGCACTGCCCAATCACTGCGTTGCTGTAAATCCTCAGGCCTAGCATCTTCTGACAGTCCTGGAGCATGACTGTCATCTCTCCGAAAGGTAAGTAGAAGCTGTGAGTCTCCGACAGCCACCTAGATTTTAGACAAAGCAAGATTACATGTCAAAAAGGCAAGCGTATGAACAAATAGCCATGAATTGAGGCAATGATTGAAGATAATACCTGTCAACCGACGCAGTTATGGCCGCTGAGTTGAACTTAGGCAACCCACGACGAACCTGAAAAGAGATGACATCTAGGCCATCTCTTTACAGGAAAGGAGTGTACCTGTTGTCGTATTGCATGTCTAAGAACCCATTGTGGGTTCTAGGATGAAGGAGCGGAAGGTCCTGCATGAAATAAAACATAGTCTCCCGGTATTTCACGAACACATGTACACTCACAAAAATTTGAACAAAACGTATAGATTATTACCTGCCCCTCTGCTATGAGATGTCCTCGGTGGGTCGCCTCGTATGTCGGGTCGAGCAGGTGGAATTGCGCCATCCTATAAAAAAGTTAATGAAATAGAAATTCAATATACAGTGAAACATGAACTTAGAAATGTACAAATAATTAACATAATTACATGCATAAATTGAGACATGCATAATTAATTAAATGAATACGATAAATATGAAATAATGAAAACAACCAATAGTCGCACCTCACTAATCTGCCAGTGGCAAGTGCGTGAATTGTGGCCCAGTCTACCACACTTGCCGTACTAGTACTGCTCGGGGGCAGTAAGAAATGGGGTTCCTCTCCTACGCCTCGTTCTTCTGGGTATCTGACCCATAACCATTATGTGCCTCGTTCTCTTCCTTGACCCACGCTTGTTCCAACGATAAGCTGGATCCGCAATGTACTTTGACCCATCATATGGAGAACACTCTCCAGAGTCTCGGAAAGGCACGAAGCGGTTGCGGGGCCTGCGCGGGCGGGGACAACCGCCGAGGCCACGGGAGCGGCGGCGGTGATGGCTCGGTAGAGAGAAAAAGAGAGGAAGAGAGAAAGAAAAAGATGGCCCATACGTAAGAGAGCTTGGCGCCAGGATTGTTGGCGCCGAGCTCGACGGTAAGATTCACGGCGCTAAGATCCACAGCGGCGAGCTGGCTGCTATGTCAACGTCCACGCCGCCAACGTGGCCCCGAGCTCGGCGTCAACAACGATGGCACCGAGAAGTGTGAGCTAAAGGTCCAGATTTTAAAATCATACCTTCAGAGGCATATTTATGAAAAATTTTCAAAAGTTGCTGGTGGCGAGCTAAGAGTCCAGATTTTGAAATATTACCTGCAAGCACATATTTGTGAAAAATTTTTAAAAAAAAGACTAAAAAATAAAAAATTCGGCCTCTAGTCCTACGCTGCTGCAACAACCACGATGCATTTTGCTCCAAGCGGAAGACGGACGACGCGAATCCTGTGAAGATGAATAGCAGCCATGTGGAGAGCCGCCAGCTAAGAAGATGACGAATCCTGCAGGAAAATATGGGTACGTCAAGTTATTTGTATTGAAAGTAAGTGTGTATATATATATACACACACACTAACCTATAGTTGGCTACAAAATACACTAGTGGAGGGACGGGCTTTACTTTTGGTGGAGAACTCTCTCTAGTTCCGGTTCTCCACCAGGAAGCAAGCATCCGGGACTAAAGAGGGGTCTTTTAGTCCCGGGTCGGGAACCGGGACTAAAGGCCCCTTTAGTTCCGGTCCTTTAGTCCCGGTGCATAACACCAACCGGGACTAAAGGTCCTCCCAGCTTTAAAAAAATAATACCTCCCACCGTTGCGTTCCGCGAGATTCGAACCCAAGACCTCATGCATTGCCTCGCGCGTAGCTTACCACCCCACCTATACAACACATCTAACAATGGATGGGATGCTTCCCTTTTGAACTAACCCATCGGGGGACCTTTAGTCCCGGTTGGTGCCAACCGGGACTAAAGGGTCTTTTAGTCTGGGTTGGTATTACCAACCGGGACTAAAGGGTCTACCTTTAGTCCCGATTGGTGTTACCAACCAGAACTAAAGGTTGGAGGACTTTTAGTCGCGGTTGGTAGCTCCAACCGGAAGTAAAGGTCCACCTTTAGTCCCGGTTGGAGACACCAACCGGGACTAAAGGTCTCTCTAGTCCCGGGCGCAAAAAATACCAGGACTATAGCCTATTTTGGCCTCGGATCAAAGGTCTGTTCTCTACTAGTAATAACTTATTATGTAGCTACTTTGAGTTATAATAATTATTATGTTAATTTACGTGATTATAGTAACTCCTTACTTAGTGGTTTACTATAACGTTATGGTGAATATCTCCATGTGTTATAGTAACCCAACTATCGTAAATATGTATTGAAATTATCATAAATTAGTATATAAAATTATCGTAAATGGAGGTGGCTACAGAATAACTTATTTTGTAGCTGGCTACTGAATATACTCTCCATATATCTTCCGTGAATGGCTGCCTCTCCGTTCGGTTTACCCATATTCAGCTTGTTCGGCTTCTTTTTTTAGCTGAAATAGTGTTTTTCTCTCACAATAATTCAGCCAGAACAATATTTTTCAGTCAGTTTCAGCCAAAATTCTATCAGCCGAACCAGGTGAGATCCTTCTAGTGATAGTGATCGTGTCCGTTTTAAGAATAATATTAACGCAGACGGCTGCCCAGAGGACCAACTGCGTTAATTGTATTAATGGAGGTGTGGTCAGGGCGCCCGTTTTAACGCAGGCGCTTAAGGCCTTGTTCGTTTTCTTGGGAATGAAACTGCAGCAGGAATGGTCCTAGGAGGGGATCAAGTGAGATCCAGGTGATTTAGTTCCGGATGTCAAGAGACGAGGAAGCAAACCTCTAGATCATTAATGTCCAAGACCGGATTCTAGGAATGCAATCTTTGTTGGTCGGGTTTTTGTTCCAGTCGTTCTGAACCCTCGGGTTGGGTCAACACTAGTGAGAAAGCGAACGTATCAAGGAGGTAGAAGCCTTGCCCAAGGCGAGAATGCATTAAATTCTCTCTTTCAACACTAGTACTATTGTATCATTGTACTCGCGTCTAGACAGAGCACACATTATATTATGAGATTTGAATAAAAAGGGGTTACACCTCATATATTAGAGACGGAGGGCGTATAAGTCGTTTTGACTTTTTTGATACATCGTTTTTGCTACGTATATAGATATAACATATGTCCAGATTATAGTAAATTCTATGTACATCGAGTTTGGACTTTTGTCCATCCCTAATAATTGAGATGGCAAAGGAATTAGGCCATGTTCGCTTATCTTATAATCCGTCTTTTTCAGCTTGTTTTTTCAGCCGAAACAGTGTTTTTCTCTCACAACAAATCAGCCGGAACAGTGTTTCGACTTATTTTTTCAGCGAAACGAACGGGCCCTATTATGTTAAGATAACGGTTTATTTTGTTGTTTGTTGTTTGGAACTAATAATGCTGCTTGCTTGGAATGAGATGGCAAGGAAATCATAGTGGAGGAGAGGCAACACCATGCATATTGACAAGAGCATGTGCTCTCTACCGACATTTCACAGCAAGACCCGTCCCTTTGTCTAGCATGTCCACCTTCGACGAGTAAATATAAATAGCGTAATTTTGAATACCCTTTGTGTCAAGAAAAAGGAAAAAAAATATAATTTGAAACGGAGGGAGCATGTATGTAGCATTCAACAAATATATATATATGAGACTACGAAAGTACGCTACAAGATATTTCTAACTAAATAGTTTGAAATTCATTAATGATCGAAATTTAGGTGTGTTTGGTTGCTCAAATGGGTTTTCATATCATTATTGTCACATATATTCTGGACTGGATAAGAGGAAGCATGGTGAGTATGCAGTGATCCAAAAAAAAAGACTATTTAGCTAGTATTCTACATAGTTAGATGTCGAGACCAAACACATGTGGATGGAGTGACCCTGTGGAGGTAGGTGTTTTGGTTGGCTGCATGTACAATTGGACATACTATGCATTATTTACCTTTTTATCTATGGGTAATGTGTGGGTGGTGAAGATGTAAAGCATCCACACAACTAGTTTGGCTTGTGAAGCATGATTTTGTGCATATCTATATCAATCGATGACATCATTAGGTTTGCACCCGCAGATGCAAATTGCTAGATAACCAGTGTAAAGAACCGAGATGGTGGCTGGTGGAGATACAGACATCATAGGTTTGCACCCGCAGATGCAAATTGCTACAGTAGATACAGACAACCAGTGTAAAGAACCGAGATGGTGCCTGGTGGAGATGCAGGGGACTTTATTTTGAAAAATGGAGCGAGCAACCAGGCCAATAATTGCCGAGGCAGTCCACACTTGCACTATATATACTGGCCTTGGGCATGGATGGATGTGCGTGGCAACATCCAAATCCAGACCGCTGTAGTCTCGTAGACATGAACGGCTCCATGGCGAGTGCCTGCGCCACCTCCAGCCGTCTCGTCCCGGCGCCCTCTGCATGCCCACCGTCCAAGAAGACCGCCGCCGCCAGGTTCTGGCGGCGGCGCACGGTGTCGTGCAGGGCCACCGGCGGCGGCGGCAGCGGCCGGGGCGACAATGACGGCCTCCTGTGGCTGCCCCGGCGTGACGTGATGCTCAGCGGCCTGAGCGGTGTGGCCGCCGGGCTCGCCTGGTACCCGGGCCTCGCGTCCGGCGCGGATTCGTCGTCTTCGCCGTGCACGACGGCGGACAAGGTGAACGAGAAGATCTTGCAGTGCACGGACACGAGCAACCAGAAGCCCTGCCCTCTGGTGTCGCCGACGGCCCCCGTGGACTTCACGCCGGAAGGCAAGGTGACGCGCGTCCGGCAGCCGGTGCATCTCCTGAGCCGGGAATACCAGGACAAGTACAAGGAGGCCGTCGGGAAGATGAAGGCGCTGCCGGAGTCGAACCCGCTGAGCTTCAAGGCGCAGGCGGCCATCCACCAGGCCTACTGCGACAGCTACTACAAGTACCACAAGTCGTCCGGCTCGGCGGTGGCGAAGGACGACCCGGCGTTCGACGTGCACTTCTCGTGGATCTTCGCGCCGTGGCACCGCATGTACATCTACTTCTACGAGCGCGCCCTCGGGCAGCTCATCGGCGACGACACCTTCGCGCTGCCGTTCTGGAGCTGGGACTCCCCCGCCGGCATGGTGGTGCCGGCTCTTTTCAAGGGCTCCTTTGTCAACCCGCTGTACGACCCCAACCGGAACACGAAGAACCTCGACGCGCTGGTCGACCTAGACTACCTCAGCCACATGAAGGCGGATCCCATCGATTTCAAGGGCCCAAAGGACGAAAAATACAAGGAACTTGTTAACAAGAACCTGTGCACCATATACAACCAGGTGTGTGTATACATACATACGTACATACGTACATACATACTACTCCGCCGTGTACGTACAATATGTGACCTAATTGACCACCTTTGGCTTCATTTTGACGGAACTGCTGGCAGCAAGTACGTAAGGGCCCGGAGTCGTTCCTGGGCGAGAAGTACTGCACCGCCATCGAGGGAAACAGCGGGGGTTCGCTGGAGCGGATGGCGCACACCGCCATGCACGTCTGGGTCGGCAAGCCTGAGACGACGCCTTGCGACGCCGCCGCCGGCGGCGTGCTGAGCCACAAGGACGGCAAGTTCAACTGCCGCAACGACATGGGGTTCCTGGGGTCGGCGGGGAACGACCCGCTCTTCTACTCGCACCACTCCAACGTGGACCGCATGTGGCACCTCTGGTCCACCAGGCTCGGCGGCGGGCAGGGCATCACGGACACGGACTGGCTCGACGCCAGCTTCGTCTTCTACGACGACGTCAAGAGCCCGCGGAAGGTGCGCATCAAGTTCCGCGACGTCCTGGACACGCGCAACCTCGGCTACACGTACGACGCCGAGGCCGACAGGGACCTGCCGTGGCTGCGGCCCAAGATCACGACGCTGGTGCCCCACGGCAAGGACAGCGGCGCACCGGCGAGGTCGTCGGCGGCGGCGCCGGTGTTCCCGCTCGCCCTGACCAAGGGCCAGGTCGTGGAGGTGCCGGCCGTGGCTGTGCCGGCCAGGGAGGCGGGGAAGGAGCAGCTGCTGGTGATCGACGGCATCGAGTTCGACCCGCAGGCGAACAACAAGTTCGACGTCGCCATCAACCTGCCCGCGGACAAGGCGCTGCAGGTGGGGCCGCAGTACAAGGAGTACGCCGGGAGCTTCGCCGTCGTGCCGGGCTCCGGCGGCGGCGAGACCGTGAAGGGGAAGGTCTCCCTCTGCATCACCGACGTGCTGTACGACCTCGACGCTGAGGACGATAGCACCGTCGACGTCGTTATCGTGCCGCGCACCGATGCAAAGGTGACGCTCAACGTTCGCCCCACCATCAAGAATCGCAAGTAGCTAACCTAGCTGCTACTAGAGTAGTACTCGGTCGCGATTGTGTGGTCAATGACGACGTCGACTATCGTTTCATGCACAGCTGATTGCGACATCGGTAGGGTGTCCGCAACAATAAACTTGTATTACCAGCTGATTGCATTGAGTGGTTTATATTAGGAAAGAGCCCATGGTAGCTGCTGTTGGAGCAGGGCTTGGTCCGGGTGCAGAATCAGTTCGAGACTGCATTCCAAATTGTATTCAGACCTTGTTGGCCAATGATTTGGCCGCTGTTTCTGAGTAATGGAGTTCCACTTCCATGTTCAATTTTTTTTTGTTATGACATCGTACCTAGGTTTTAGAGATGATTGTGGGCTTATATATATCGAAACTTACCCTGAAGGGTTGGCACTCTATTGACACTAGTTACTAATTACGTCACCACACCATCAAACAGTTAGATCGCTTCGTAAAGGCAGGCCAAAGGTCAGCCTAGCCGACTTTTAACTCGCCTGACGCCTACAACTTGCTCGCATACAAATACTTTATTACATGGTACCTGTAGCGATGAGCGCGATATGCGCGATATGTCAATGAGGTCTCTTAAACCAAAACCCCACAAGCCCCGGAGAGACCGACCCTTTCACCCTTTGGAACATGCGACTGTGATGATGGGCTGCCCTAGGCGGCTTGACCGCTATAGAGTTTCGTCATCGTTGGACCACCAGCCATGCAGCAACAACGAAGAACGAGGAGCAATAGTAACCGGTCAAAGAGAGAGTAACTATGTTTTTTTGCCGATTGGATTGATAGATACTTAATCGGTCGTGATCCTCATATAAGTAGAGGGGATAGTCTTATCTCTGTTAAAAAAAACTTTTTTCACACACAATTTATATGTTTCTCATGAGATCAGATGAGTTTCCAAAGAAAACAAATATGAAATTGGGTTCGACTGCCAAAACCGGCCCGGGCCGGTTTATACAGGCCACGTGAGAAACTGAGGCAGAACTGGCCTGGGCCAGTTTAGCCTGCATCTGCAAAATTTTGGGCTGCTTTCTAAATCTAATGATTTCTTGGAAACTGGGCTGCTATATTCTTTACCGGTGCTGGCCTACTACTTATAATTATTTAGGAGTAAATTGCACCGTAGGTCCTTAAACTTTTGGTGGATTTCTATCTGGGTCTTCAAACTAAAAATGCTACCGTCGTCCTCGATCTATCTGTCTCATCCACCACCAGTCCAAAACACGCCACACGTGCACGAGAAGCTGACATGGACATGCCACCTTGGCAACTGGACGCGGGTCCGTTGCCTACTTTGCAAAAAAAAAAAACCGCTCCATTTCTGCGTCGCACTACTAAGCCCGTCGTCTCTCTCTCTCCACTGTCCACTCGTTCTCTCTCTCTCTCTCTCTCTCTCTCTCTCATGGTAGCCGCGACGGCGTCCGCTGCTACTTCTGTGTCGCACTGTCCCTGCAGTCCGGTGGGAGGAAGAAGTCCAGCATGCACTCAGTCCCGGTCGCCGCCGCCGCCGCCGTCCATGTCCATGGACGCGTTGTCTCCGCGAGGCAGCTGTGCGCACACGGCGAGGCAGCCGGCCTGGCTATAGAACCGCGTGTGGTGCCCAAGCGGGTACGTGTCCATGGAGTACTTGGTCACGTCGGCGCAGAAGCGGGGCCGGCAGCCGCAGCCGCTTCCTCGACGAGCCCGCATCTGCTGGAGCGTAGGTGGTGCTCGGCGCAGGCCTCGTGGAGTTGGGTTCTCGTCGGCGAGGTAGAACGGTGTGCCGGCCGCCGTCAGGGAGGCGTGCTCTGTGCCGGTGCTGCAGCGTCTGCATCTGGCCCAAGCCTGTCGACCTCGGCGGCGAAGTGGAGCCTGGGCGAGGTGGTGATGACTGGCGAGCTCGAGCACGGCGAGGCAGGAGCTGGTGGCGGGGTGAAGGATGGGGGCACGAGCGCCGCCTAGATGTCGTAGATGAGCGCGTAGCTGATGCACGCATACTGGAACAGGAGGTGGCACCGCGAGTCCGCGAGTGCGGGTCTGCGGCACCACAAAGGGCTGGCCCCGGGTGGCCAGCACGCGCCGATTCCCGTCCCGCGCCAGCGCCCTACAGGCCTACACCAGCGCCACCGCTGCCGCCATGGACCGCCGCCGTGGTCCCCATCCTCGTCGCGCACGACGTCGCCAAGACGAGGCCGCGCCGCGAGCGGATCAACGCCGACGACGAGCAGGAGCACAAATGTCGCACCCCCACCTCGCCGTCCTCCGCCATGGCCAGGACGGGCTCGCGTCGCGCTCTGCTCCGGGGAAGGTCGAGCCGCACCAACACCGTGCCGGCCTCGACTTGCCGTCCACGTCGTGCCGAATTGGGACACGCCTAGGTTCCCACCATCGCGCCAAGCCCCCGCCAAGCTCCTCGCCGACCTCAGGCTCGCCAAAGCCGAGCCGCCTCTTCACCGGAGCTGTGCCTGCCCTGCTGAGGAACCGCACCGACCGGATTCGCGCTGAAGCCGCTGCTGCCTTCCCGATGTTCGAGTCCATCGGCACGCCTCCTTCATCCTCGGCGTAGTTGCGCGCCCCCGTGGCGTACCTCAGCGCCGCCTCCCTACCAAGCACTGCCGCGACCCCACCGACGAACTCTAACCAGGAGCACTCCGAGCCGCCGCTGGGAAGCCAGGAGCCGCGGCCACGAACTCCTCTGCAACCGTGTTCTGGTAGGGCCGAGCCAAGCACGGCAGCACGAAGGGGTAGCCGTGGGTGGGCCAGCACACTTCGGTCCCCGTCCAGTGTCGGCACCCACACCGACGGCCTCCCGCACGCACAGGGAGAGAGACGACGGGCTTAGGAGTGAAACAAAGAAATGGAGCGGGGTCTTTTTACAAAGTAGGCAATGGGCCTGCGTCCAGTCTCCACGGTGGCAGGTCCACGTCGGCTTCTGGTGCACGCGTGGCGTGTTTTGGACTGTCGGTAGACAAAATAGATAGATCGAGGACCTAGGTGGTAGCATTTTTAGTTCGAGGACGCAGATGGTAATCCACGGAAAATTTAAGACCCTACCATGCAATTTACTCATTATTTAGCTCGTTTAGCTCGCCGGTAGTTGACGAGCCAGTCCAAGTTAGCTCATTACGGCAACGAGCTAAAACGCTATCTGAGCTAGTTAAAAAAAATGAAATTAGACTGATGCCCTTCATTTAAGAGGTCTAAAACCAGATTTTATCCATTATCTAGGGAAGCAAAATTTGTTAAACGGTAATGCTCTGTCTAGGACGTTCGTCCGTTCGGATGGCCCCGTTGGTGGGCCGCAAAGCCCACGAGACTCTCTTATCCACTCTCTTCAGGCACCGCAATTTCTTTAAAAAAAAATCGCCGCAATGCCGCGACCGCGTTCCGCCGCACCCAGCCACATCCTGCGATGCTCTATGCCCCACGCCATGTCTCCATCCACTTCGCCCGTCGTAGAAGTAAAGGTAGGGAAGGCCTGCGCCCCCATCCAGTGCGGTTGTCGGCAGGAAGGGGAGGCCTTCGCGCTGCGCCCCCATTGAGTGCTAACTATATGTATGCTAGATCAATTTCCATACATATAGTGACATCGTCAGTGAATAATCAAAACAATATATGTTTATTATATAACTCGTAATATTCTTATAAAAGAGACACAAAGGTCTTACAAGAGAGCACAAGCGGAGACTCTAAACTCGTAGCTGAACTCCACTCCACAGAAAGATCGACTAGGGTCTCCATATGCCAAGCACTTCTTCTGAGAGTCTTCTAGAAATCTCCACGGCATCTTCATCGGTCTTCTGAGCTGCATTTACTATAGACTAGGGGTGTGGAGGGAATAACAAGGGTGCGCACATGTCATACTTAGCAAGTGCAGTAAAATAATGACAAGAAGGCTTTGAACAAAGGATAAGCTGACTTGGTTGACTGCGGCAAGCATTTTAGTTGGTTAAGTTTCATTAGAAGGAATAAGGAAATAACATAATCGTCTCCCCGGCCCCATTCTGGTTCTATGAACTCCCCTGTTCTCTTCTCTCTAGCTCGTTCTACCCAAATCCTCTCCGAACTACTCTCTCTCTCTCTCTCTCTCTCTCTTGTTGTACCGTGCTCCAGTCCGTAAGCATGGTTACAGGTCGTCCCTGTGTGTGTATGTAGGAGTACGTGGTGGTCCACCGCTGACACGTACCGTGACCAAGCATAGGTGGTCCAGACATGCTTGCATATGCTCTCGTGCGTGTATCACGATTCACGCCCGGACGCCGCCCGGTCGTTGGCCTGGTGCTACCCGAACACGACTATGATATGTACTTGCACACATATGCATCCGATCCACAGCTAGCGCTGTACGTGTTTCATGCGTCGTGTATGTGGACCAAAAAGTGTGTGGACGTCGACACGCTAAGATTCCGACTCCAATCTGATTAGAGCCGTACACGTAACGTGACAACCGCTGTGTTTCACGCCATCCAGGATGCATCATGCATCATCTCAAATTCTCGACCATGTGCTAGTATATACTCCGTACTACTTATTTAGCACCACCTCAAGTTCTACTACTACTGGCGGCTAGGTGCTTAACCGCATTGTTTCCCTGATCTTCTAAATTGTTATTTTATTGGCATGCACGTACCTACGTACATACGGTAGCCTCGTTGCCTAGATTTTACACTTTTACTCGGGAAAGAATAATTTTAGCGTATAATATCGAGTTAAAATCATTTTGGGTTTGACTAAGTTCACATAACAAATTTTATTTTTATTTAAAATAAGAGCTGTTGGATTTATCATAAACATAATTTTTTGTTGTAACACCTATTTTGGGTTATAGCTATTGATAATTTTTTGGGTGCCATCACTTTTTTTAACATGCTGGGTGCCATCAATTATGACTGTGGTGTCGTCTTGCATATATTTATTGTTAGGCTAGTTTAAGCGTGGAGAGTGTCATGGCATAGTTACTAGGACCGACACGTTAACTCTTCTGTTTGTAATCGTGACAACGAGGGAGTTTCATCCTC